AGCTTAATCTGCAGAAGCTGCAAGTTCCCTTGGCTACACACGTATATTCGATCCATACATATACATATATCCATGTCTTTTTTAGGGCTGTTGCCTTAGATTTCAATTCATTGTTTTTAGCAAAAAGTTGGTCGTAAATTTCGCTGACCGAAGTGAACTTGAGGCACGTGCAATGGCCGCTCTCTTATGTACTCTAAGCGTAATTGATTGATTGATGGATGGACAGATGGCTGGCTGGCTGGCTGGCTGTCTAGCTGTCTGGCTGTCTGACTGAATGAATGAAGTCGACCAAAAGCAGCTGCTTCCAGTAGCTAACAAAAGCAATCGGGCAACACATTAAAGCCAGGAATTTTCTGTTGCCACAAAACCTTGCACATTTAATCTTTAATTAAGAGCAGAGCCAAAGACAATATCACAGCCCACCCGTCCGTCTGTCCGCCCATCCGCCTGACCCCTTGCCCAGTTGTCAGCGGCTTAAATGATGCGTTAAGATGGCCTTAAACTGGCTTGCGGCTGCTTTAACCGCAACGAACTTCGATGCTTCAATGTCCAAAAATAGCTGCAGAGAATAGAGACAACAGCTGAGAAATCGTTTCGCGAGCAGTGCAAATAAATTGAATTACGAGCGAACTGAACGAAAGCCAAAGGGCCACAAAAGAGGAGGACTTTGAAATAAAGTTGCGCAACGCAACGGAAAGGAACGGAACGCAACGCAAAGCGACGACAAATATGCAAATGGACACTTGACAATCGGCGAAGAAGATGCCTCAACGGGGTATATGGAACCAGTCCTGGCCCAGTGCTGGCCCAGTGCTGGCCCAGTGCTGGCCCGAAGGCCAAATCCTATTAAAATTCAATTGCCTGTAAATGAGCTCGGGCGCTGGGTAACAGAGCCAAACTTCGGGCCAGCAACTGCCTGGGTCCAACGGCTTGTTGTCACTTAATTAAGGTTAATGTGAGCACAAAGAACAAAACACGCCCACCCGCTGGCCGACTGCGAGTGACTGACTCGACTGGCTCAACTGACTGGCAGCTAGGATTAAGTTTAGATTTGTCAACAAGTTTCATGCGTTATTTAACTTTCAATGCAAATATCCTGTCAGCCAGCATTTATTACATTTGACTACGGCATTTAGGCAAGAGGCAAGGGGCGGGGGGCAGGGGGCAGGGGACAATGGGAAACGTGCGACAAGTTTATTTCATTATGGCCACAAAGGCAACACACATTTGCTCAGTTCACGCTGAGTGCGTCTCGATTTGGGGCACATGTGGCAGTGCCTGGAAAATGCCGGGAAAAGCCGCAAATGGCAGCCAAAATGCCATGAAATCAATTTGAATCTAGGTTTTTCCTTAGCCCAACTTAACGGCCTGTAAAATTATTTAAAAGTTAGCAAATGCCAAAATTTAATTATGGCCACAACTCAAACAAATGTCTCTAACTACGCGCTGCCAACTTTCGGCACACATTTAGCCACACACACACACACTCACACACACACACTCACACCCACACTCACACACACACAGGCAGCTACATGAATCTGAAATTCTGAAAGTTGAAAGTTTTCAGCGCTGTGTCGAATGTATGCGCATTTCTAATGCTCATTTGTTGCATGCCACAGTCGTCTATGTGCATGTGTGTGTGCGTATGCGTGTGTGTGTGTAAGGGAGGCAAGCAAACGTGTTGTCAAAGTATTGCCTGAACACATTAACAATGTAATCATTTTTGGCTGAATTTAAGACAAATGAAGTGAAAATGTGACAATTGGATGAAGGACTAAAAGGAGTGCGATGCTTTCCTATTTGACACGCCCATCGGGGCGGATCATGTAGCTTAAAAGTTTCTTTCTATATCATCAACTACCAACTGCTATTCTCTAACCATTAAACTGCTATTTATACTATTATACTATCCATACATACATATATCTACTACTAAAACTACTACTAATACTACAATTCGCTTACTATGTAAAACTTTGTGTCATCTATCTACTACTATTACTATTATCTTACTACTATTACTATGTTACTATCGACTATTACTACTACTACTACTATTAATATGCTACTACTGATCTACTACTATTACTAATATACTACTATATACAGATACATATATCTACTATTGCAACTATATGTTATCTATCTACTACCTATTAGTATTATGCTGCTATATATCTACTACTATTACTAATATACTACTATATATATACTACATACAAAAAGAAATTCCCCATTTCAATTCCCTAGCTCCGATGGCACCCCAAGTCATAGCCATTATATACCTCTTCAAGCCAAGCCTAAGCGGGTATGCGCTACGTAGCTGCAAACATGCCAAACTTTTTTCAGCTGCAGATATTATCTACGCATGCAAATGTTTTTATCAATTTTGTTTCGAACTTTTGGGTTGCAAGAACTAAAGTGAAATCAAACACAAATATCTCAGCCAGCAAACAAATATCCCTTGACACTTTTGCTTACAGGATATGACAGGCACAACAAGCTTCAGCATTCAGACCGCCCCAGCTAGAGCTGAAGTTCCCCAAATGCGCATAAAGGTCGCTTGGCAGGCGCTGGCCCATATATACTTATTGCCAAATACTTGGCCAAAGTATTTTATATTATAAGCGCGCTCTCAATGCTTATCAGCGCCAGTTGAAGTTGTGTCAAAGTTTCTGATTTTCCTCGTCTTCTTCTTCGTTTTGTTTTTTTTTTTGCGCTGCTCGCTGATAAGAGCGCAGCGTGCCAACGGTGAGGGGGTGGGGCAAGGCAATAAACTATGCAACGATTTAAAGGCAACTTCCGGCTTATGCCGAAATTGCTGTACAAATTCAATAGAATGTGGAAATAATAAAAACGAAGTAAAAAGTGCAAAATAGAAAATAAAAGTTGAGCAGCGGTAAAAAAAAAAAAAAAAAAGCGGTAAGGAAAAAGAAAAGATGAAAAATCCGGTCTAAAGGCGAAAGGTTATTTGTAATGCTGCTGCTTAAAACTTTTCTCATTAGTCACTATTTTTTAGCGGCTGTTTAATTGTTGCAAACGCACCAGAAAAAAACCAAAACTTTTCGAGTAGTTAAAGTTGTTTTCCATTTTCCATTGTGCATCATTTTTTCTTGAAGTTTTCTCTTTCGCACTTTATATAAAAATAAATTCCTGAGCGCAAGTCAAACAAATGCGGCTTTTAGCACTGCAAGATTTGTGTAAACAAATTAAGCCGCGCCCCGCAAGGTGAAATGGGCGAAGAAGAAGAAGAAGAAAGAGCTGGAACTAATGAACGCTTCACTGTGCAGATCTAATGAGGCCCAAATAAATTTCCACTTGCAGCAGCCAAACAAAAGAAATATTAAAACTTTACTTTCCAGCCGCTTTCAGGCAAATATATTGGCCGTTACGCCCACTAATTTCGGGCGATTTGCCAATAAACACGTACAAAGAATGTGCGCACAGGAGGCGGCTGTGAGGGCGAGGGGCACATGGCCAAAGGGAAACGGAAAGGGCAATGTCATTCAGCAATTACACAGAGCGAGACAGAGTGCGGGAGAGAGCAAGATAGAGATAGGGAGAGGCCACAAAGGCACAGAGCAACACAAAGGCATATACAGGCTCTATAAGCGAAGCACTTGAGTTATGTCTTTAGCCAGCGATTAGAGATGGGCGCGTGTCGTGCTTATGATGCGATATAAACTGAGAGAATTTTTAAATATTTTTAATGAATTCCCAATATAATTAAAGAGCAGTGTTTAGTTAAAATTTTTTTGATGTTTATATAAAATATAATTTAAGCAAAAATATTATAAAAATGCAATAAAAATTTGTTTTTGACAGGTTTGTAAGCTATTGAACTATCCAAAAACACATTAATAAAAAAAAATAAATAATAAAATTAAAAAAATATTAATATACCTAGAGATATAGAGAAACATATTTTACTTCGAAAACAAACAAAAAAATCAGCTTATTTATTTATTATTTATTTATGCAAATATGTTTTTTACTATTCCCCTCCAGCCCAAATTCAGTTCTCTAGAAGTTCCATAACTAGCAGCTGTCAGCTCAACGACTAAATCGAGGTAAGCCCAGAGTCAAACTCTCCTACGCGCTCATCTCTAGGTTGAGTTAAAAGCCTGCTGGCACGTTCCAGAGCTCCCTCAACCAGAATGGCCAACTCTTGCATAGCTCTCAGCAAGTTTAAGCGCTGCAATTTCATCTATTTTGCAAGCGATTCCTTGCCCAAAATGTAGCAAATATTCAGCCAGCCATCAGCCCATCAGTCAGACCGCCAGTCCGCCAGTCACTGGCTGACAGCGTGAGCTTGTACCTCCAGAGTCAGTCAGTCGGTGAGGCGGAGGAGGTGGGGGCTTTTAATTAAGTGCGTGCCCTGCGCTCGCTAACAAATATGAACTCCTTTGGCAGCTCCTTTTGCCAGCTGCTTTGCCTAAAACATGAATGCACAGATACAAATACAAGCTCACACAAACACACACACACACACAGGCACACACACATACACATATTAATGGCTGCCCCGTTTACGTCAAGTGCGTGGAATATTTAAATATCTATATATATGGATATGTATGTGTATGTGTGTGTATATATAAATCTTGCAGTCCCGTCTGCAATTGCTGCATCAATTTGGCCAAGTGGAATGCTGTCAAATAACAATCTGCACATGTGCAACAAATTAAATTGGAATTGAGATGCCTGCCAGGCAGCAGATTGTCTTGGCGCACACGGCCAAATTCTAATTGGAATGCCGTCAAGACGTTAATGAGCTTACAACAAATTATAACGGTGCGCCCACATATACATATACAGTATATACATACATATATATTGTGTTGGCAAAGTCAACTCAAAATTCAATTAATTGAAAAGTTCCATTCGAAAAACTTTGGGCTTCGAGCACTTTTCAACTTTTAAGCCGAGCAAAACTTATAAATCGAGATTAATTCGCCTTTTTACTTCTACAATTGCATTAACAATTATGATGATCATTTAATTTGTGCAACGCATTTATTTGAATTCACTCGGGAGAGACTGCAAACTGTTGAAACTGGGTAAATGATTATAGGGTTGTTTAGGCTATTACGTTTGTACTTAAGTTACAACAAATGTGTGTATAAATAATATATTAAAATTATTATTAATTTACTAACTATTTTTGGGTTCAACTTCTTAGCATATAAATTAGTTATGAACGTACACAAATTGATGAAATGTGGCTGGGTTCGAGATATGTAAATTCTGTTTCATATATATTCTTCAAAACTCTATAAACAAATGAGATATTTATTGTTATTGATATTGTAATTGCGCGACATTTCAATGAGTTTCAGTTAGGCTTCAGCTATTGTTTCAATTCCGTTTTCAATCCAATTTTCTATGGCGTAGTTTACAAACAATTCGTACCTGAACATGTATAAAAAATGGAAACCTAAGAATAACTTAAAGTTACATCTATAGCTATATATATATATTTGTTATATATATAGCAAGTAAATGGCTTAGTTAGGTTAGTTGTTAGCCTATGACTATTAAGTTCAGAACGTTCTACAAATGGCAAAAACAGTTTAAAATTAATTTCAATTACAATTGAATATTTTTAAAATAAGCGAACTAATCAAAAACTAAATCATAATAAATATTATAGGACACACTGCACACGGCTCGAGGCATCTACTATTAGTTTTAAGCTATACATATCTATATATATATACATATGCTGGTTAAGGTTAACACACTGCCCCGACTTAAATATCATACAAAAACACTTATACGCTATAGCCTTACGTTTTTTATTTGTAGTTAACGTATTCTTGATATCTGTTTCTAGTTCTTCTGCTTGTAAGTATTGTAAAGTTTCCTTTTTAAGGCACTGACATTATGTACACCTGACTTAGGTGGAGCCAAAGCTCCTAGGTATCTATGAGGAGGGTGGCGGCTTGCCGTGCACACGAAAGCGATACAGGCACGTATAGTCCGGTTGGCCATGATTCGACTCGATGCGCAGCTCGACGATCTCAAAAGGACGCTTGATGTCCATATTTTGCACGGGAAAGAATTGGAGCGAGGCACCGTTATCCTGATATTCATACTCACCGAACAGCACCGGATCCTGATCCTTCTCGTGCTCCAGTCCCTGCAAAGTAAAGCAATTAGTAGGGGAATATAATAAATTTGTATTGAAGACTCACCCAGACGGTAAAGTTGCGTGGCGCCGAATCAATGCGCCCTGTAGGCGACAAGCTCTTGGGTATGTGCTCCAGCGTGAAGCCCGTGACGTGAACCATAGAGTTGAGCTTCAGCACTGCAATTGAATAGATGGTTTACTATGAGCATTCTCTCTTTCTCTAATACACATTTTACTCGTACCCAGAAATCCGGGAAATCCTTGAAAGGCCCAGCACTCGCCGGGCTGCACGTTGGGCGATATGGCCACCCTGGGCGTATTGGTGGGATACCAGAGCGGAATGCCAAAGACGGAGATCTGTGCCGATTTGGTCTGATAGCTTTCGGTGCAGCGTGTGGACAGAATTTGCCCGCCCGCCGACTCCAGGGCAAAGTCGACCAGGCCCGTTTTATCCGCATCGTAGACGGCCAGCACAGATTTGACTATGTTGCGCACCTCATCGTCGTGCATGAGCGCCTTCAGCGACTGGGAGCTGGCATTCTGCTTGGCCTCCACAACGAGCAGGATCTCGCGCTTAAGCCGCTCGCTAATGTCGCTCATCAGGACGAGGCTGGAGCGTTCGATCTCCGCGCGTATGTTGTTGTTGGTCTTCTCGTTCAACTCGAGCAGCTGCTGCTCCAGATAGTCCTTGGCCACGAACATGCTGCGCACCCAGTTCTGCAGATCCACATCATCCAGTTTTCCGCCCGCCGTCTGCTTGAAGCCCAATATCTCGACCAACGTCAGCTTCACCTGCTTGTTGAGCAGCGCGAACTGCGACTCATTCAAGGCCGCCAGCTTGGCCTCGATCTCGGCGAGGAGGCCGCTGAAGCGCTGATCCTGTGCCAGCTCGTGTTGCTGCATGCGCGCCAGCAAATCGTCCTGCGTGAGCTTCAGATTGCTGATGGACTGCTGCAGATTGGCGTTCTCCATCTGCTTGTCTGAGAGCGCCAGCTTGATGAATGCGATTTCCCTGTTTAGCTGCTCAATTTGCTGATCCGCATTCGACTGGCCCGAGCCCTCCTCCTTGGCTTGCTGCTGCTGCTGCAGTCCCAGATTGATGCGTGCGTCGACAAATTCTGCCAGCTCTGGTGAGCCCAGCAGCCGCTCGAGCAGCGCACCCAAATCGATGCGCTCCAGCAGCAGCGTATAGTGCTCTTCCTTTAGATTGAACTCCGCCTTGACCAAGCGCGTGATCTCCTCCAGCTGCGCGGACGTCAGCTTTATCTGTCCCCCCTGCCACTCGACCGACTGCTGCAGCTCCAGCTTTAAGCGCAGCACCAAGTCAGCCAGCTGCTGCTCACTGAGCTGCGCCCGCTGATCCGCAAACTGCTGCAGATTCTCGCGCATGAGCTTAACTATAATCTGTATCTGTTGCGGCGACAATTGTTGCTGCTGCTGTTGCTGCTGCTCTTTGGCTTGTTGCTGCAGCTTCAGCTCCACCAGCTGCTGCACATAGCTGTTCACATGATTCAGTATGTTCTCATACTCCTCCGGGGTAAGCGACTTCTGCATGCTCTGCTGCACTTGCTCCATATTGAGCCTAATGGCAGCCGCCTCCTGCTGCTCGCGTGGCAGCCACAGCGCCATCAAAGCAGCCCCAGCCTGCATCAATCCCCCACGCAGCGAGGCATAGGCAGTCAGAGGCAAAGGCAGCAGCGCCTCAGTGCGATGCGCCATCTCCAAGCGCTGCTCCTCCGGCAACTGCTGCCAACCTGCAAGAGAAGTAATCCAAGCATTAGTCCTGGGCAACGGCCAATGGGCAGAGGCATTTCAACAGATTTATATCCTTCTACATTTGCAACTTTTTAGATTTCTTTCGTTGATTCTTCTTTCAGCACATGTCAAAAGGAACTGTTCGATAGGGAATTTTCGGGGCGACGCCAATGAGCACAAATGCAGAAGGATAGAGTTTCTGTTCAATGGGAAATTGTTCGTAATTATTATTTTACTTACCATTTCAACTCGCAATTGCAATCGCGTGGCATAGCTCAATAAAATGGCAAATAAAACAATTTACAATTTTGCAAAATATTCTGTTGTTCTGTTTCTTTGTACTGTATTTCGTCAATGATTATGAAATTGTTTGCATTTATTATAATAAATTGAGGGCTCTTGTTTAATTTTTGATAGACAAATACAATGGCAAACAATGAAAGGTTACAATTGAAACGTTGTTTAACAACAAAGAAAATAGTTTATTTCAAACGTTGTACGAAATTGCGTTTGGCGACAAATCTGAAGAACAGATCCAAATTTAATTGTACAATTTATCATTTTATAATTAATTATAAATAATTGCACAAAGCTCACATTTTTGTGGCCAAAAACAAGGCGTACAACAACAAAGAATGAATTTAATGTAATTTTTAATTAATATTTATGTTTTTTTTTTTTTACACAATTTGAACAGCGAAGCGAGTTTGTTCGCCCTCTCTCTCTCTCTCTCTCTCTATCCTTCTCCATATTGCGTCATATTGTAGGCGGGTGTAGGGGAATTTGGTACGTAAGGGATGAGGGGGGAGGTATGAAAGTGTAAGTATGCATGTGAGTGTGTGTGTGTGTGATGTGGGTGTAAATATTTGGTGGGTTTCAGACCGAACACAACATCTATATATCTATATATACATATGCATATATGTATATACATGTACAGTTTGTCAAAGATCATTATATAAACATACAAACGAAAAATTTAACATGAAATTAGGTGAGCAATGGTTTTGTCGATTTTTAGGAAATGCTAAGCAAAATGCTTGAATTTGTACTTGAATTGATCTTGATTTAAGACTTGAAAGTGTCTCGATTAACGCGCATAAGAAAAAACAATAATTTTCGAGCTGCCATCAGAGCAACAGCTGCTGCAGCAGCTCATGGCCAAAACGAAAGCAGAATTGCAGAAAATAATCATTAAACACGATCGTAATAGACGTTCGGCTGAAACCACTGACGCCCCTTGCTGACCACATTCTGGCCGATAGTTTTCAGATACACCAAATAATCATCGGCCCAGTCACGCACGCGCACAGCTTGATCGATGGCCTGCGAACGTAGCCTTTCATATTGGGCCACAATATCGATCTTCGGGAATTCGGGTAGTTCAAGTATGGTAATTTTTATTTTTCTGGGTGGGAAGCTTTCATGGGGATTCAGATAATAGAACAGACCTGAAAAGTTACAAAAGTTTCCACATTAGCAAATATAACTTAGAATATTCAATACTATACAAATGTATACAAAATGAAGTGTGATTGATAAGTTTTCAAATTGAATGGAAACATTAAAACTTTTAAATTGATATGGAGGTCTCAAAAGTTTTCCTACTTGTATGCTAAAATTTATGTTATAAATTGTAAAAAATAAAATATAAAAAATAAATTTTAAAAAAATAAAATAAAATAAAAACATTTAAAAACAAAAAACTAAATTATTATTTCATCTATTTTGTTTAAGTTTCTATAGTGTTGATTTTTCACTTAAATCTATAATTTGTTATAGAATCAAATCTAGTTTTACAGAGTCTATCAATTTTTAGGGAAATTCTTACATATATATCTGAATATATATCATTCATTCTCAAGACATCTCTCTTTTTCCTCAACACAAACTTTATCAATATCGTACGTATATCTTACACATATATCTCAATCTAAATCATATAATCAACTCTAATTTTTCTGCCCATATATTTCTCATATATCTCTGTAGTAATACTCCTCTTACTTTTCTACTCAACTCTGAGCAACTAAGCAAATTACGCTATGTCAAGCATTCCATATGTCTAGTAATATCAATCAATCCCGTTCTATTGAGTTTTCTCATACAAATTATGCATACAATTTCCATATCAATATCAACAACCGCAACGCGCACAAGCAACTTGTTGCTGACGTCATATGGCTGTCAACGACCAGAGGCGACAAGCAGAAAGGTGAACTATATGTATACAGAGAGATATATGTATATATCTACACATTATATACTCGTAGCATTGGTGGTAGCCGCCATTCAAGGTAAGCCTTTGGCTGACGTTCAATGTCAAGGCGTGTGCACGCGTTGACAGATTTTACATTAAATATATAATAAATACTTATCTAATAGTTTACATATATTATCATAGGTTAACACTCACCCACTACCATCAATACTGGCAACAGTAGGAGCAGAGAGAGCAAGAAACGCTTCTTCCACTTGTTCTCCGCATTGTTGGACCTGAGTAGCCAAGTGTCCAGGCTGAGCACCGAGGCGATGCCGATGTAGATGTGACGCATCAAGCTCAACAGGCTGGAGGCGATAAGGCCGTGTTTCGGCTGACGATCGCGCTTGGCATAGTAGCTCTGATAGGCGCTCGATTCCGTTTCCGATATGTTCGCAATGCTGGTCCACACGCTGCTAATGCTGCTCACGATGGTGGTGATGATGCGTAGCAGCCACCAGCTCTGCACCTGCTTGTCGAACTGTGTGTCGTCCACCTCGTCGGCCGAGTCGTAATTCAAATGCGTATAGTTCGCCTGATAGCGACGGCGTATGAACTCCTCCTGAGCTGGATCACGATTGACCATATAATTCACGCGCTGATCATGATGCTCCAGGCTGCGACGCGACATGTTCGGCATTGCGACGATTCCCGGTGCCAGCTGGCGCCGATGCGGGGACAGTTCTGAATACGTATAATCAGTTTTCGGTGTTTTGCTGCAAAGCAAAATAAAAAAACACAATTATTTTCGATTCACTAGACTCAAGGCACACAAATCGAAATCAGAGTTGGGCTGGCAGTTTCCCAGAGAGAACAAAAGCAATTGACTGCTTTATCAAGGCCTCTCTGGACTCCACACCTGACAGCTAACTTACTTCCAGTACTCGCCCGCATTTTTGTACTCGATGTAGGCCAAATGATCATCGCTTAAGTTAGCCTTGCTATTGCCATTGGAACGTGTGCGACTTTTGCGCTGCTCCTGCTCCTGTTGATGCAACTCCTGTGTGGTATTCAAGACATTCTGTGCCGTCTCCAGCTCGCTGCGCGGCGTCGATGTGACAGCGGTCAGGCTGTTGAGGGCATCGTTGAAGCGCTTGCCGGTATTGGTGATCATGGTGGTCACCGTGGCAGCCTTGCGTTTAGGCTCTGGCGTTGCATCCTCGCTCGAATAGTCCGAGGTCAGCTGTGCCGCAGCCTTTGAGCGAGTGGTTTTAATGGCGTCGCTTTTGGTGATGGTGGCGCTGCTGATGCTGCCGCTGCTAGTTGTCTTCGATATCTTTGTTTCGACCACGTGTTCCTCCATAATGGTTCTGTAAATAAGCCAACAAGTTAGTTGATAGCAGCGGAAACGTTAAGTTAAACGGTCAGATATATGATAGCCCCCATGCGTAATTAACGCAAAATCTGAATCAAAACAAACCCCAAAATATGGTAGCTCATAAATGCTTTACAAATAGAAACGCGTCTGACCTTCAACAACTAGAAGCAAAACAAAAACCAGCAAGCAGGCATTTGGTTTTTAACATGAAAACGACGCTCTCATGGCCAGATTGCCTCCGCCTCCCGGCTGATGTCGTCATCAACGAAATGAAACGAAATAAAACCACAAAGCGCACGTTTGATTCAATTCGCGCGCCAAAAAACAAACAAACAAACGCTCGAAGCTAGACGCGCTAGCGCACCCTGTATGGCAAGTCAAAGACCCTGTATATTTCACTCTCATCAGAGCTGAACGCGTTTTTCTCTGCTATCGCTGGCAAATGAATCACATGTGCTTGATCGTGTTTGCTCGCAAGAGAAGTGATGTCATCTCACATATCTCTCTCTCTCTCTCTCACTCTAGCACACATGCTCGGTCATGAATTATATTTGCAATATAGTTTTCTCAAATTAATTACATATTTTCAATTACTTATTCACTCTGCTTAACAGCGTTGCCACCTGATTTGCCTATATACAGTGACTGCCTCACTGTGATCACTGACAGTGACTGTTAGCGCATCTCTAGCCAAGCATTTTGTTTCTTTTTGCTCGATTCCAAAATACAATTTTCGCGCCGAGTGTGAATAGCAAGGCGATGACGTCATGCTCTCGTACACTAATGCACACAAGCTGAACGTGTGCTGCTTGGCTGGCATTGGTATCTGTGTTTATTCGTATTTATGACGCGCCTTTGTTTGGTTCAATTGCCCAACGTAACGTTACTTTTTAACTCTCCTCTACGCTCCACTCACCGCTCTTCAAAACATTGTGCAGTAGGCTAACTGATAAGCAGCGCATTTTCATGAGTGCTCTATTTTTGGGGCTATCGAAGGAATTTATGTTTTGATATGCTCAAGTATACTTACTGCACATTGGGCGCCACAGACTGTTTCTTCTTCTTGTGATTCATATGCCCCTCCGTGCCGGCACGCTCACAATTGTCTTGGTCGCAGTCGGAGTGCAGGAATGGCGTCTTTGAACGCGAACGCCGGCGCGTCTCGATTTGATAGGGTTCTCCAATCATAGCTTAAGAGTTTTGCTGCAAACGAAAAGAATAAACAATTAACGTTTGACTCCAAACATTAATTGTTCATTCTTTTCGTCTGCAGCAATTTTTGTTTGTTTATGTGTGTGTGCGCATAGTTTGTTTATGTGTGTGTGCATAGTTTGTTTATGTATGTGTGCGTGTGACGGGCGTGGATTGTTTACCATGTGAATTTATTTCAGTTCATATTGAGCATTGGACAGGGGGCCAAATGACAAACGAGCAAACGAGCATTACAATTGGTAATGAAACAAGGTCTAACGAAACTCTTAGCACATACGCACACACACGAACACACACAAACATTCAGGTTTACATATTCGTGCGTGCGTTCGTGCTACGGAGTTTCTTTAACGCTCGACTGCTCAACAACAAATCGGTTTGCGGGCCCGAAAACATTAACATTACAGAATTATGCAATGCGTGTGGAAATGAGCGCAGTTGCTAGATTTTTAATTAGATCGCAATGAGAGCGCAACATAGATCTAAAAATAAATACGGGCAGCTGCGTTGCCGGGTGGGCCTTTGCAAAGAAGTCGGCAAATTGCATGCGAAGCACCACAATTTTTCATTAAGGGCACTCAGGGTGGGCAACACATACAAAAAAATAAATAAACAAGAATGAAGGTAACCACGCCATAAACAAACAAATAATTCGCTTGAATCAATAAAATGCGATGAGGGGAAAGGCACTCTCAACTCTACTATTTTATCTTCTTTTATTTTATTTTTTTTTTTTCGGTGATATGCGTGAAAATCTAAACAAGTTTTCCGAGCCGCAAGTGCGTCAGCAAACGCCGAAGCGAACGCCGCGTCGAATTTTTTCTTCACTCTTCGTAGCGTGCCAATTGGAGGAAATGCGGCACACACACACACACACACAAATACACAGTCGTTGTGAATATTAATCACTTACTCTTTCACACATTCAAGTCGATTAGCTCAAGAATTTATTTCTATTTAATGTGCTTTTGCACAATTTGTGTTTTTATTGTCGGCTGTTATGATTTATTAATAGATTTTCAACACCAAATTAAACACGTCCGACGCCGACAGCAGAAAAACTACGAGTAATTCGATAAATGTACCCCTGCCGGTGAGACGATTCGTTTACGATGTATCGATAGGCTGTACCCAGTGGCCCACAGGTACGATACTTTGTCCAGATATCGTTTACAACAAATATTTCGATATATACCTATGTGTACCTATGTCATGTTAGCAATGTTAACATAAAACCTATAAATTTCTTATTTCTTAAATAAAAACAGGATTTACATTTAATATGTTATGTTTTGTTGCATTATCATAGAATATAAAAGACTTTTTGTATAGGTACAACAGCTTCTTGGACCGAGTAGCCTATTGGTAGTAGAGCTCCAGATTCATGCCGTCATGAATTTCATCTGCAAGTACCATAAATGGCAAGATATTAATATAAACTAAATCAGATTACCAATATTAAGTATAATTACAATCGGATAGGCGAATGGGATCCTTATAGATGGTGTACCACTTTTTCAGCACAATCTTCTCATGCTTTGTGCCAGTTTGTGCCGCTATTAATTTCTTAAGGTCCCCAATTGTGTCGTCTGGGTTGCACTTTACACGCACCTGCCAAACAGTTGATAATATTAATTCGTGGTTTGTTTAAATGCAAATATATTACCTTTTTGCCCAGACGGTCATTGCAAGTTATCTCAATCATGTTTGTGTTCCTCCTTTTTAATGCACAACAAATATATTTCGATAACTGCCAATACTGGCAATGGCTGCATTATCGATATGTTTGTGCGTTGCCAGAATGCCGCAAAAATTTCTCTGCAAAAATAAATAGACGCCGAATTGCAATATTAAAAATATTTTAAATTATTGCGAAGATGTCCATGATTCCATTCTTTCCTAATCTCAAGCCAACCGTGGCTAATCGTTTTTGGTTTGATATGACATCCGATGATGAGATGCAAACAAAGCGCTATGAGGACGAGCGCAGAAATTGGGTATGTCTGAAATAAATATGTGTACATACATACATATGTATATGTGTAAATTGAATTACAATTGTGTTTTCTACCTTAGCGGGAATCTTTAAAGACTGCGGCTACAGATTTGCAGCCACTGGGTAAGGTGCACACTATCACTGGCGTCGAAACAGATGATGAAGATGGTAAGTCGCGAGCATAATAACATTGGGTGAGATATTCATATTTGCTTCCCACAGCCAACGATGATAGTGAGGACACCGATAGTCACGATGAGGAGGACGATGAGACAAACGATCGTGTCATTCCCGTTACACAGGATTTCTACTCGGCGGACGATATACAAATGAACGACGAGACCTCGCCCACAGCACCCTAAAAGGAAAGGCATTGCATAGATACACCATTTAGTTAGTTAAGAGTTAGTTACTGTTGCGATTACAAAGTTCCCTTTACATACTGTAATAACAATTTTCGTTTACTTTAAGCTTAAATAAATTATAAACAGAATAAGCAAATGATATAGTTGGTTATTATCATTATAGTTTGCTACTAGTTGGGGGTGTTGCGGGGATCGACTGAAGAGTTCACAGTCACAGAAAAGGCTTCACGCATTTCGTCTACTTGTGAAGCGCCGCAGTCTCCAATTTGGGCGCCGGCTTCGAGGCCAAGCCCGAGAGCAATTTCTTGATCTCGGCAATGGCGCGACCCGGATTCAAGCCCTTCGGACAGGTGCGCGTGCAGTTCATGATGGTGTGGCAACGGTACACGCTGAAGGGATCCTTCAGCTTGCTCAGACGCTCAACGGAGTTCTCGTCACGCGAGTCAATGATCCAGCGATATGCCTGCATCAGCACAGCCGGGCCAAGGTACTTCTCGGCATTCCACCAGTACGACGGGCATGAGGTGGAGCAGCATGCGCACAGAATGCACTCGTACAGGCCGTCCAACTTGGAGCGATCCTCCACTGATTGTAAGTACTGTGCCTTGCCCTTCTTCTCCCCGGCTTCGTTTCTGTGCAGGATTTGCGAGTTATTAATCCATTTTCATAATGAATCCCATTGCTACTCACTTGCGCTGCAACCAGGGCTGAATATTTTTGTACTGCTCGTAGAAGTTATTCATGTCCGGCACCAGATCCCTCACCACATACATGTGGGGCAGCGGGTACACCTTCAGGGGTTTGGGACTGGTCGCATCGATCTTGCTGATGCAAGCGAGCGTGTTGGTGCCGCCAATGTTCATGGCGCACGATCCGCAAATGCCCTCGCGGCACGAACGACGGAACGTCAGTGTCGGATCCATCTCGTTCTTGATCTTGATCAAGGCATCCAGCACCATGGGACCGCACTCACGCATGTTGATCTCATAGGTCTGCATGTAGGGCTTCTCGCCGGCATTGTCTGGATTCCAGCGATAGATCTCGAACTTCTTGATCTGTGGCTCTTGTGCAGCCTTGGGCTGTGCCTGTTGCTCCAGCTGCGTCGTGTTGCTGATTGCACGCAACTAAAAAAAGAAAAGCGATACTGAATTAATTTGATAAATAATTGGCGCTAGAATCACGCCATAGAAAAAATTTTTTTTTTTTTTTTTTTTTTTGACGAAAATGTTTACATAATCGCAAATTTTGTTGTTTGTGCGACGCACTTGATTTGCATTTTATCAGGTATGATCGCGTATTAGTTATGTTTTTATTATTTATTATATAACAATATTGCCCAAAAATCGACTTCGTACACCCTCGCGGCTCCAGAGGAGGTTTTCTTAGAGCTTTACTGCGCGCTCGCTCACCTGATGACGTGCTGCCAAAGAGCTGGCGCGGCTCAAGACCTGTCTGGCTTCGTTGACCAACATTTTTCTAATGAAATTGAAACGTCACTGCGTTTGCAATTTGTTAATTAATTAATCAAATAATACGTTGTTTTCCGACTGGAAAATTACAGTTGCAATCGAGAAGTTTGCACAGCGAAGACCTCTCGAATAGAGTTGTCAAGAAGTACTAATTGGTCTGGTCTAAAAAAGCTAGCGTTAAAATAGCTAAAAATACCAAATGATGAAATTCTTTATATTATATAAAATAAAATTATGAAGTAATGTATGTAAATCTATTTGAGTTAGTAGACTATGTATAAATTAAATGTTACATTTAGTGAAATGTATTTAATTTATGGTTTATATAAAGGTATTTTCACAATAAGACAGCCGTCCTGGCAGCTGTCGTGTAATATATCGTTTAGCCTAGATATCGATAACACTACAGCTGCATTCAAGTGTGACCAGCTATGTCGCATACCAGCATTTTAAAATTCAAATAAAGATATTTATTGTACACTTAGTAGTTTAATTTATTTATGAGGGAATAAGTATTTAATAAATAATAAATATATTTGTATTTACAGTGTTTTGATACTTTATGCCATTAAAACTGTTTTGGCTAAATCTGACTAACAGTTTCAACTGCGCCTCGCTGTGTTTGTTGAGTTAAAGATTTTTCCAGGTTGGCGGGCAATATATTTAGCTCTGCATTAGTCGGGTTTCCCTCATTTACAGCACGTTGATAGCTTGGTGGAACGCTGTATGTAAAATAGACATAAATATATAACAAATTCTTTACTTTGGTTCTATAGTTTAAGTTACCTATTAATGGGAGCGGGAATGCCCTGCACTTGCACTTGAATTTGGCTGAAAAGGTTTAAATTTGAGATAAAATATTCGCTTTTAATGTAAACATTATTGTGTAGCTTACCTCACGGCCTGCGCTGGGTATACATATGCAGGTGAATAAACGTGTGTTTGATAGCCAGGAGGTGGATAGTAGCTGGGCAGACCCGCTGCTTGGCCATGGGTAGCAGCTATTCCACCTGGAGGTATGGGAGCCCTGTTAGCTGCTCAAGGGAGATATTATATATAGATATAGAAAATTATATAAAAACTCTATTTCATACCATCAGTGATCACAAAGCCCACGTTGTTCCTCGCCTTTTGCGTTCGCACAATTAGAGATATAATCGAAACAAGGATAAATAGTGATATGCATATGGAGATCGATATTATAAAGGCCTCCATTTCTCGAACTTTGTTTGCTGTCAGCCTTTCCAGTGGACAATGCGTACTGAGAGCGAGCCCCATCGATAAGTTCCCCGTCCATGTCTAATCAGAAAGCAATATGCCAAATATAGATAAGCGATATCTGCTGGCTTCAAACGGCAGGTCGTAAATTTGGCAATACGCCGTGAATTAGTCAGAAAAAGGTATTTTCGTAAAGAAATGTTTATATCTACAAATACTGATAAGAAAATCTTACAATTATTTTGAGCTTCTTTTGCCATTAAAAATTATTAAAAATAGTAGGTTTTATTGATAATAATATTACAAAGCAAGCAATAAATAAAAACTGGATTTAGTTTGTACGTTTGAATACAAATAAAATTTAAAATTTTTATTAATATAATTTTAACTAGATTTTTAGATTCGATAAAAAGTGATCAAATAAAAATATTTGTATAATTAAAAAATTAAATATATCAATAAATAAAATATTTGTATAATTAAAAAATTAAATATATCAATAAATAAATGAATAAATTAATTTATTCAGCATTGGCTCTATTTTACTTTGTATTATTTTAAACATTTCTCTTAGTGCATTTACTATTTTATATTTATGTATTTCTTTTCTATATCACTCGATAATTCTTAAACAATTCATTAAACTCAAGCTAAGATGCACCGTAAAATGACGAGAAGTTGACAGCTTGTCTAGTTTTAATTGACGACTGGGATAAATGCAATTCTCACTCGTAAGCTGCATTGCTATGGAGCGAGAGAGTCTCTCTAAGAGCAACAACAACTGAAGTGAATTGCCGAGATTTTAATGGCACTTGGCAACTGCAGGCGAAACTAACATAAAATGAAACTTCTTAACTGCCATTTATGCCGGCCAGCCAAGAGCAGCGCGACTTTGTCAATTGTTCATTGACCTTTTGTTCAGCTCGGGACAATGTGACTTACATATAAATTTATATATATACACACATATATACCTTTATAAAGGAAGAGAAAAGCGCGCCTCATTCCCACCTAGGCAAAGGACATTTTTATATTT